GCGCACCAACACATAGCGATCTCTTAGGCCTGGGAGGAAGTGTTTAAAAGCTAGAAACACGGCCAGCATCTCCAGGCAACTTATGCGCCACGTGAGATGGCGGCCGCTCCACAGGCCGCGGGCCAAGCGGCCACTCATGACCGCTCCCAACCGGTGAAAGATGCATCCATCGCTAGCATATGCGGCGACCAGGAGCTCCCAGCACCAGGCCCTGACATAAGAACCAAGGTTTCCTTCACATGTCTAAGGCACGTAGGGCCACCACTGTAGGGGTCTCATGTACAGCAGGCCAAAAGTAACCACGTTGGACGCAGCTGCCATCAGACCCAGCAGTCTGGAACTGCTTGACAGTGAGTGACCGGCCTTCTCTCACTCTCGCGACGAGGATCGACTCGATCCGAGCAGGAGACATACGTGCCTACATCGTGGTCGAATCCCACACCACGCCCAGATAAGTGGTTCTCTGTACTGGAGAAAGCACACTTTTCTTGGCATTAAGTCTTAACCCCAGCTCTATCGTGTGAGCGAGAACGACATCTCGATGTCGAACCGCCATCCGCTCTGATTGAGCTAACATCAACCAATCGTCGATGTGGTTGAGTCATGAAAGTGTGGGGTGTGTGGGGTGGGCCAAAGGAGGAACTCGGTGTTGGTAAGCTTTTGCCCCCAAAAGCAAACCTCAGGAACTTCAGGAACTTCAGGAAGAATGGAGACATGTGCATCTTTTAGATCGATCGTGCCAAACCAGTCATCGGACTTGATCTGAGACATGACTTGTTTGAGTGCGAGCGTGCTGAACTTCAGTCACCTGACTGAGCGGTTAAAATGACGCAGATCTAAAATAGGACGCCACCCTCCATCCTTCCTCGGAACGGTGACGTACCGACTGTAGAACCCGGACTCTGCTACGTGAGGAGGGACCACCTCGATGACCTCCTTCGTCAAAAGAGTAACTACTTCTGTTCCATGACCAGAGCCTGCTTGGGACCCACCATAGTGGGGATGACCCCATTTAAAATGAGGCAGAGGATAACTGGATTCTATAGCCTCACTTTACAGTGTGCAGGACCCACCGAGACACATTAGTCTACTAAGGGAATCAGTCTCTCGAGACTGACCTCTGGTGTAATCAGAGCGGCTAGCTCGGTGACCTGAAGCGGCAAACTGGCAGGGGACGGCCGTACTAGCTGCTCTAGAGACCTCCGTGGAGCCTCTTAGCACCGCTACGTTTCCGGGCGGTAACTGAGAGAAG